AAAAGATCTTCGTAATGATTCCCTTGAAGAGGCCTCTTAGCCGCCCTCTCAAACTTACTCTTTCTAGTCATCTAAATTTTAAAAAAGAAAATTAAAATATTAATATACTAGTATCTTTAAGAAAAAAGGTTAAAAAAACTCTGAAGTAGAAAACCTCAGAAAATGGAAATATACATTGGTGCATATTTCAGTCTTCAATTCTGATGAAACTAATAAAAGAAAAAAATAGGATCTCTATAGGTATCGTCTTCTTTTTTCCGACAAAGTCAGATTTTAAAATTTGAAAGTTGACTGTTAATGATAAAACGCTACTTACGTGGATAATTCCAATCATTATAGAAAACTTACGCCTATGAATCTATGTTGCATGGAATCAGAAGCAGGTGCGTGGAAGCGGAATCGTTTGAAAACGTAGAATCGAGTTTTAAAAATAAAATAGGAAGCGGGTACGTTTTGGAAGCATATAAATCTAGGAAGCTATATATATATATTATATATAATAATTTATACTTAAAAAAATTAAAATTCAATGTGATTAAAGTAACTATTAAAAGATGAGCAACATATGATTTTTTTTTTAAGTTCACTAACTGGAAAAAAAATCAGATGCCTATAAAAAAAGTTTTACATTATGATAGAAAATAGGGTATTTTTTATTTGGCTTATGCAAAACTATTAAAATAACATGCAACTAAATAAATTATAAGTGTCAAATGAATAAATCAATTGGGCCATCTAAAGCCCAAGATAAGTTTGTAAACTCTTCACTTCCTTCTTTATGTCGACGTCGCCGGCAATACACATCCGCTTCTGGTCAACACAGAGTACCGCTTCCAATTCTGAAGCGTACGTTTCTGTTACGGATCCAAACACATCTTTTCAAGAATCGTGATTCCCACACGATTCCAAGCGTTTCCGAGCGATTCTGGATCCGTTTCCGATTCCGGAGCGGGAACCGTAGCTCCACCAACGATTCCGTGCAACGTAGCTATGAATACCCTTTTTGGCAATAGCATGTGCGACATTATTATAAATATGTCTAACAAATGAATAAGAAGAGAAAGGAAAAAACTTCGAATTCCAGAACCAAATCACGTAGTATGCTAATAATTGAAAAATCAGTATGTACTTTCTTTGAATCTTTAAGTATATAAAAGCCTCTGCGACATCAACGTAAACTTCTTCACTGTGGTAGGATAGGGCCGATAGGCAAAGACAATTATAGTGCTGTTCGTTTGGTTGCCGCGGCGGCTGCGGCTGCAGCTGCAGCAAAGAGTTGTGTTCGTTTGATTGACGCAGTACCTGGTTAGGTCCTTGTTTTTTTGAGGCTACAAGCCAAAAATAATAATGTGGCTGGTTAGGTCTGAACCCTTCATCTATAACAAGAGAAAGAGTCACTTGACCACTAGACTAAAGTTACCTTTATTGAATTTTGTGGCTGATATTTTTCTTAATAATATTAAGGCTGGAAGCCCTTGCTTTATTGGCTTCTAGCAAGGGCCGGCTCTGCATAAAGTCATTTTTGAAAAAGAAAATCAATAACAAAATTCTGATTCGACATATTTTACTAAAACATAGTAACTTGGTTATACAATTATATTTCATATATATTAGTTTTTCTCTTTCGGTGATGGTTCATATTTATGTAAATATTACATCATTTGTAATTTATATATTTCAAATAAAAAGAGATGACACTTATCATTTTTTAAAAGATATACATATATTAGAAGAAATATAAAAAATGTTTTCATATGTTGTAAACTAAAATTTGTGGTATATTTTAGTTAAAGATAACTTAATAATAGTAATATATTTGACATTTTCATAAACTTGATTTAAAATGATAGTACATCATATATATTTCAAAGAAAATATATATTATTAAAATAAAAGAAGACTATACATAAAATAATAATAGTAAGAACCATGGTAAATTTTCAAAATTAAATAAAATTAGTCAATAATAAAACTAATGTACAAAAATCATATTCCTAAATTAATCAAATAAAAATAAAGAAAATTACCAATTATACTTTAAAAATAATAATAGTATTTGTTTTAAAATCCTAATAAGTTTGGATGATGTTTTTTTTATTTGGAATTTTTTTTTAATAAATATGACTATTTTTAGATAGTAACAATAAATATTTAATTATTAAAACATTATATGAATTTACTTTTTCCCATTATCTAAATCAATAGATTTATAAAAATGTGTAAGAAAATATAAAATTATCAAGCCATGTTACAAAAAAACAATATAAAATTATCAATGGATTAGAAAATAATTCATTATTTATGTATTGAACTTCAGTGTAATTTCGAATAATTTATTTACATGATTTTTTAATCAAGTTAGAACACACATTACAATGAAAAAATAGTTACACTGATTAAAAATATTTAGTTTACTTTCAATAAAAGTGATTATTTTCCTTATCAATGGATTAGAAAATAATTCATTATTTATATATTGAACTTCATTGTAATTTCGAACAATTTATTTACATGATTTTGTCATTAAGTTAGAACAAACGTTACAACGAAAAATAGTTACACGAATTAAAAAGAAAATTTTATTATTAGTAAAATAATAAAACATGGAAAAATAATCACTTTTAAATGAGTATAAAAGATTGAATTTTTGTTTTTTTTAATATTGACAAACATGTTGATTTGCCTTAGATTTGGAAGATCAACAGGGGGAATTTCCCGTGAGAATGAATTGTTTACAAGGTTAAGTCTTTGAGTCTGGACAAACTTGGAAGAGAGGCTGGGATGCTTCCCTTGAGTTCATTGTTATAAAAATAAGAACCTTGAGATTCTTTAAACTCCAAGAAAATTGCTGGTAACGGACTCAAGAAGTGGTAAGTTTAACAATAAACTGACTTTTGTTTCTTTCTGTAACAAATATTTTTTTAGCTAGAGAATTTCTGCAGATCAAAAATGTGTTATATATTGTGAAACTGGAAGAGAAAGTGTATGACAAAGAAGTACAACTACATTCAAGAAACAAACATATAAATTAGTTTTCAGTATTAAGAATAATCGTCTTAACTTTATTTATTATCAAAGTCAAAGTAAAAAAAAAAATCAGAACAAAATAAAAAAATATATATTTCAAGAATATATTATTGTTAAACGAACTAAATGATGTTGTCAAAAAAAAAACGAACTAAATGATTTCTAACAAGAATAATAAGTAAACAGTAAAAAAAATAAGAGAAAATAGTGAAAGTTAATGTTATTTTAGTTGAGAACAAATTAAATATTTCTGTCATAATTTCACCCAAATGTAAATATATATTTCTATTATTTTTTAAGCTGCGTATCCATCCGTGAGGGGATTTTACCCCAATATATAGTATAATAAAAATCTAACTATACCAAAATTGTTTTAAAAGAAATATATTAGCTCCGACGGTAAGAATAAGTCTGTAAATTTCTTTGCTTGGGTTATATATACAGCAATTTTATTGTAATAATTTAGTGTAACTTTTTAGTAATGTAGTTGTAAGTATTATTTATCTATAAAATAATACAATTTTCAAACATATGATTTAAGAAAAAAAGGGTTGTAGATTTAAGGGGAAAAGTTCATTAGAATACTTAGAGACTAACTGAAAAATAAAATTATAAATAATTTTAAGCGAAATGAAACATGTTTACAGTTCAACCAATTAAGTACCATAACTAAAATTAATTTAATTTTATTCATTCTATCTCACCATCTTAAATATAAATTTCAATAACAAAAAAGTTGAATAGTAAATATTTGATTTGCATAAGACATAAAAATGAGTAATATTTTTTTTTTATAATTGCCTATATACTTATATTTTTATAATAGATTATAATATATAATATTAAAATAAACTTACTAAATAGATAATCAAAATTTAAATTTAAATAGAAAATCCGGGCGTAGTCTGGGCTGGCCCTAGTACTATTATATTAGAAGAATCAATGTGTGGTTTCGTTATGTCTGGTAGGGCAGTCTTGGAATAACTTGGGCCATAAGAAAAAAAATGGGGATCCATACAGAAACATAAGAAGTGAGAAAATGAAGAAAAAATTCAAACCATGGTGGATAAAACTAATTTTCCTTTTATTTGTTTTGCATGTTAAATGTGAGTCCCATTGAAATGGTGATATTTTTGTTATCAAAGTTTTTTTTTACTTTTTCACTTGGCGATTTTATTTTGTTTGATTTTATATAGTTTTAAGTTTGTCCATACTTATTTTATTTGACTAAACAATATCATTAAAATTATATTTTATATTAATACTTTCTTATAAGTGTATTATAGATATATGTGCGGTGAAAACATTAAATTGTTTAGCCAATTCTAAACCCACAAAGATCTAAAATGAATCCAAACTGAAATTTATAAATATTCAAATAGAGAGGAAATCTTTGATTCTCAAAAATTTGAAACCTAAATAAACTCGAACCGAACTCGGATGGTTCTCTCATACCACTAGTTTAAAGTTTGGTCGTACAATGAATATGGACAAAAATAGTGTAGAGTTGGTCATTTTCACAGTATTGAATTTATAGTATTGAAATCACATTGATTAATAGTAATGATAGTATCAATTTAAGTATTAATAGATATATGCTAATGAATTGTCTTCAAACAATTGACATAGATAAAATATATATAATACAGTTTATTTTATAATGAAAGTATAATACATATTTATAAATTAATATATTAGTTGAATGATATAATGAATGGATACAGAGATCTTTGTGAACCACAAGAAATTTAGATATCAAATTGACAAATTTATTGGGATATTCATAAAAGAAAAACATCTAGCGCAACAAATAAATCAAAACGATCTGGTCTGAACTAAACCCAACTAAGCAGAACAAATTAAATTCAAATAAACTAGAACATGAACCTAAGCTCAAAACAGTCAAGCCAAACCTCACTACCATTTCACCAAAACCATAATCCGGTTCAACCTGATCTAATCTTCAACACCACCTACCTAGCCCTAGGATCGAATATTTGACCAGCGAACAAAACGGTCCCGGTTTTGTCTTCTCTAATCATGAAAAGAAAAGGATGTTCCGCCACAAAATCTATCCTCTTCGGAGGAGTAGGCTTCCGATTACGGCACAGGCTTACCTTCTGTCCAACATAAGTGACAGCTGCAGCTTCAGCGCCATCTTCATCAATCTCGACACAAGCTTTATGGTACAATTGCAGCAAAACGTCTCCCTCAAAAAACCTAGAAGCCTCAAACATGAAACAGAAGTTAAACTTTGGAATCCTGAAATCGCCAACTGCAACTCTGAATTTCGGAATATGACTATCCAAGAATCCAGGAGTTGACGTCATTTCCTCCAAAAGATTATTCAGTCCATCTTTCTTGTCCGGAAGATAGAAATACATTGAGAATTTTCGGTTGGTATCATCATTACGGCCTTGTCTGTATGGTAGTCCAAGGACCTTGAAACCATTGTAGGCCTCGATGTATTGGTCTTTATGACTGCTCATAAAAGGCACACGCACTGGTTTTCCAACGAGAAGGTGAAACATTTTGTGTTTGGTCAAGGACTTGTCGAATTTCTTTTCCCAGGCTCCTTTGAAGTATAATGCGTTTCCACAAACCTTAACGCTCTCGCTTGTAACGAATCCAGGAGGAAGAATGTCTCTGATGAGACCATTAGTGTGATCTGAAGCCCATTTATTCATTTCTATCCGCACGTCTTCAGCCTTCAAAATAAAAACATGTAATTTCAGTTAATTGCATAGAGATTTCATATATATATATATATATATATTTTCCTTTTTAGAAAGACGGAATCATTTTGGCTCTAACGGATGACTACTAAAATAGGAATATGAATGAGTAGGAAAATAATAAATAGGAACAAAAGAAAAGAAATGAAAAAGAATATTTATTACTTTGGTTCAATATCAATTTTGATAAGGAATATTTTTGTTCTATAATTCCTTAGAATTCAAGGAATGACAAGGAATCATACGCAGAAAATATTCCTTATGAATGGTGTTTTTTTAAAGAATAAATATAAATTGGTTATTCCCCTTCGTTCCTTATGTTACCATTTAGACCATTTATCTAATTTAATACGTTCTATGTACAATACGTTCTATAAATTCGCATAGCTCTAGTACTACTAATTTTCTCTTATTCCTTAAAATCAGAGAACTTTATTACTCCCTACGTTTCACTTTGTTGTCATTCTAGGTTTTTACATACATATTAAGGATACATTTAATTTTACAGATTTTCAAGATAAAAACACAATTACCTATATACCTAACCACTTTTTAACCAATAGAAAAATAAAATATTATATAAAACTAATAAATTTTGTTTCAAAACTCTAAAAATACACTTAATTTGTAACAAAAAATTTAGTCTAGAATGACAAATATTCTGAAACGGAGGAGTATTATTTTTAAGTTTAGAAATTAATTAATTAATAGGTTCTGCAAAAATAAATAAGCTTGACGAGACAAATATTTTGTTTAGAATATAACAGTTACTCAGTTAGTATTCAAGAACGTACAAAGTATTTATAATAAATTTCTTGAATATAAGATGAAAAATTACCTTGAATCTGAAATCAACTTGAGCGAAAGTAGCCTTGAAGACATTCTCCAAGATATCTTTGGAGGAATGATCAACAGGGAGTGATTGCTCGATCCATACACCATTAACCGCTGAGATTTTGGGGCCACCGCTGGCACTGTCGTCAGCAAAGACGACGGTAGCGATCTCACTGTAGACAGCATTAAGCTCGTCGGAATGGGTGCCGTTGGTAACAGCCATCATTGTGAGCGCGGCGCTGATTGACGCCGGAGAAAAGACGAAGTTAGAGTTCCTTGCTTCAGCATCGATTACTTTACTCGTAAGGACCAAAGCAGCGTCGTTTAGCTTCTTCATCGCTTCTCGCAACTCCTCCTGTGAGAGAGAGGGTCTTGTGAGTGGTCGTGAGTTGCTGAGTTTTTGCTTTTTCTTCTTCTTTCGCTCCATCTTTGAGATGGACGGGTCTGCTGTTTCTGAAGATGTGATAAGCTTTTGTTTCCTCTTTTTTGGATCCATCTTTAAGGTTTTTGTTATTTTTTTTGTGAGCACAAATGACAATATATACAGAGAAACAAACTGACTCTAATTAGGGTTTTGGGCCTTTTGGCGTATCATATAATTGGCTAACTAAGACATAAATACATTATTTATGGAATTTGTAAATCTAACTTTTATGAGATTTACTTTTAATTATATAGAAGTTTTTCTTTGATACTATATGTATTTACTTTTCCATATATTTAATTTGAATTTTACAATTGAAAACTGAAATACAAAATAATGATTTTTCCCAATTATGCAGATCATAGTAGTTATTTTACAAAGCTTGTCGAACAAGTTTCAATATTTACTCGAGAGCCAATTTACTCTCAACCAGAAATCCAAGTATAAATTTTAAAAAGATTTACATATATACTTTCATAATCATATGTATGAGTTTATTATTATTATTTTGGTTAAAACATATGTTAGCAAGGTTTTGAAAACTGGACAACCGGTGAAACATATGAGTGATGGTTGAACTCGGTTCAACCGGTGTAACCGGTTCCAATGATATTGTTTTATAGATACACTTTACTATTTATGTCGTCTATATCATCTAATGTATTAATTTAGGAATTAGTTTTTATCTACTATTTAAAGTTGTCATTTAAATTTGGATTATTTCATAGTTGTTACTAGAATATATCATGTCTCCTATAAAATACAATCTACCAACTTAAATTAAACCAAGTTTTAACCGGTTTAGATCAATTGAATTTAACTAATTACATCTTTAAAATATTTTTGGTTATTTCTTAACATAAATAGATTGTACAAAACTGAACCATAAGAGAAAAATGTCCAACTCATTTATAACGTGTTTTCAATACAAAAATTAATAAGAGGTTCAACATATTATATATATGTCAAATATATCTATTACACAAAAATATATAAAATATTATATACACATATAATATATAAAATATATTAAAATTAAAATTTGACAAAATAATTTCCGTCCTAAAGGACGGATTAGAATCTAGTTAATATTAAAGTTAATGTTGATGATTTTTGACTTTTTTTGCCTTACCGGCTTACCCATAAGCTTCATCCAAATTCTCTATTTTTAAATGTACTAGTTGCATAATGCCCGCGCAAGCGCGGGGCCGGGATCTGTGTTTTTCTCGGTTGTTGGTTTATTGGGTTATTCTAATAATACCAAATAATGAAAATATATATTAGGAAATATGTTCTAGCCGTAAAAATATATATTAAGACATGATAGTACCGCGTGAGACTCGTTTTTTTTTTTGGTTGTTCGTTTTTTGATCCATTTTTAGTTGTTTTTGGGTTTGAGTTCGTCAAACTCTAGGATTTTTCCACTATTTTGGGCTTAAAACAATAAGTCTAGAGGAAAAAAACATAAAAACATTAACTAAAAAGCCCATATGATAATAATCCAAACGAAAAAAACTAAAATACATAACAGCTGCGTGGTTTGAACCCACACACTTGCAGACTTAATTAGATGTCTTATACCACTTTGCTAAAGTGTATTCATTGTTCATAGTCATTTAAAGAAAAAAAACTATAAGCTTTTAAAATTTAAACACGCGGGACCCACAAACTTGCTGACGTGGACAGCTTTAGGAGCCTTAGAAGTGAAATATTATAATATAGATTTTCATTCAGCTTTACTTATCCACGTATCTCCTTCTCCATTTTTCATATTTTGAAATTTCTGTAAAAGTTCTTCTGTTTTTGAGTTTTATTTCGTGCACATAGAATTTCTTTGATATACGTTCCATCTATATCAAACCTAATAATTGATCTGAATCAGATTGAAAACTATATTCAATGTACAAACAACTGAAGAACAATGGTAGAACTATATTTGAATTGGTAAACCGGTTTTCTTAATAAAACCGGGTCACCGATTTGGCCGAATTTACTGGTTGAAATCAAATCCGACTTTGGAACCAACTTGGACTCGGCTAAGTGAAGGAGTCACGGTGGAATCGGTACAACTGCCGTCCTGGTCCGCTTTTCAAAATAAACTAGGTTAACTTTTATAGTTGAAAATTATAATATACTAGGTATGGATTTGTGTGTTGTACAGGTTTCAATTGATGTTTTTATTTCATGTTAAAACATAAAATATATTTTATTTTCAGATCTTGAAAATCTATTTTTTTGTAAGATTGATCTAGCTTAACATGGTATCAGAACCGATCCACATAGTCCAACCCGATCCACATCGATCTGATCCAAAGCTGGCCCATCGATCCTTGCCCAAACATTCCGAGATTGACGCTCAAAGAGTCATCATCTCAAAAAGGCGTATAAGGGATAAAGATCCCACATCGAATATTGGAAAGAATCCTTAGTAATATATAAAGTGGATGGACCACTCCACTTATCATCAATTGGTTTTATGTTGGAAATCCATCTATCTTAACACTTTATGCTATATCAGTTGTTCGTTGATGTTAGTAGTTGAATTTTTAACACTCTATGACACATTTTGTCTTACCAATTGCACATGGGGACACATCCCACTTGAGACACATTTTTTTTGTGGGTCTTATGCGTTGATTTCTCCATTTTATCGTGCAACTAATCCAACTTTCTAAATAAATGATTTCCATTCTTCTTTCACTTTTTGTTTTAATTCTGGTTCTCTCTCATATCCCACAGAAAAAAATACCACTTTCCCAAACCTAATTTCATCTCCCCCAAACTCAATTTTCTTCGATTTCTGATGAGTTCAATTTTCTTCGATCTCCCCCATCTCCCTTTTTTGCACTGTAACCATAGAATCTCATACAAATCCAAGTTTCTTCTCCAACCCATCTTACATTGTTCAAGAGTCCTCGACATACAAAGTTAGTTTCTCCAGAAATCATATTCCTTTCTTTAGATCTGAATTTTTGATCATCAATTTCAAAGTTACTCTTTACTATTTCAGAAACCACATTTTTTATTTGATTTCAAAGTTTTTTAACTAATATTTTACTCAGGTTTTTGAAATCCTTCTTTTCAACGGTATAAAAACATTTCTCTCTCATTTAGGAGACAATCAAATCAACTCTATCCAGACATTGCCAATCCGCGAGTCATTCATCCCCACTTTCCTTGTCCACAAAACCCATGTCCACATTGTATTCAGACATGATACTGCAAGGGTTTATGTAATCAGTTATCAGACATGAGAGTTCAAGGGTTAACGGAATCAGTTATTATTACACCGCTAACCCATGTCCAAATTTTGTAAATAGAATATCACTTAGGAGAGAGTTGTGGATGGAATAAAGGATTATAAATGATAGAATAGCTTAGCAAAGAGTTGTGGATGAATGTGTTAGCAACAAGCTATTGTGGACATGAAGGTTTGTGGATGTGGACAGACGAGAAGACAAGGTCTGAAGAAAAATCATTATAAAGTTGTATGGGAATTAAAGAAAATTGATGTGTGGGAAGATGAGCTTTATTTTTGGCCACAAGATTGAACAAACAAAAGTAGACCCAATCGCTTAGAGTTATTTATAGGTGTGTGGATGTGGAAAATAGAAGCAAACTCTTTAAATAAATGAACCTTGTATTATATAACTGTTACAAATTTTCTTCTCGAGTTTGATTTCTGACGCAAACATGTTTTGTGTTTTGAAAGTAACATTTTTTTCTTTTTTTTTGTCTGATCCAAAAAGGTTCATTGTTACCTTTTTCATTTCTCTTTTTTTTTTCCTTCAACTTCTCTCTCTCAATCGACTAAGGGTATAATTATCTAAAAACATTCTCGAAAACATGAATGACTTTCAAGTAGAATGTGTCTTTATGTGATAGAAAAGACACAAAAGTGTCTAATAATGTAATGCATTCTTAGCAGTTATAGATATTGCTTGTTGACAAGTTTGTATAATAGCTTTACAGCCAAGTTAACTCTCAACAAAACTCAAAGTTATTAAAAATTATATAAAAAAAATCAAATAAAAATAAATATAAAAATCACGATGTCATCTATTCAATGTTCTATGTAGCACAACTTCTGAATAACATCCACAAAACAATATGGGATCTAATATAGCGAAGTTGCAATTTCCTCTAAGTTGAGAAAACTGCAATCCGGTTCTAAGCTGAAGAAGTTTTGGAAGGATCAAAGATTTGACCAACGAACATAATGGTTTTAGTTCTGTCTTCTTTTATCAAAAAAAGAAACGGATGATCAGCAACAAAATCTATCAACCTTACAGTGCTGTAGCCTTTGCCACCTCTGGGGCCTCCCATCCTAGTAACAGCCGCAGCTTCTGCACCATCTTCATCGATCTCAACCAAAGCTTTATGGAAGAATGAAGCCGAATCCAGTTCCAATTCATTGAAAGCCTTTGAAGCCTCAAAACCGAATTCGATCTTAAACTTTGGGATTCTGAATTCACCAACACGAACTTTTTCACTTGGAATATGACTATCCAAGAATCCAGGAGTAGATGCCATTCTCTTCACCAGATTTTCGAGTCCATCATTCTCGTCCGGGAGATAGAAATACATTGAGAATTCGCGATTCATATCAAGGCCTTGTTGAAAAGAGAGCTTAAGAACCTTGAAATCATCGTATTCACTTACGTATTGCCTCCTAGAGGCTGTGCTCATGAAAGGCACAGAGAGTGATGTGCCATCGAGAAGATAAAACTCTTCCTCATCTGTCAAAGACTTTGGGAATTTATCTTTCCAGGCTCCTTTGAAGTACATTGCGTTTCCATAAATCCACTTGGTGTCACTTGTAACGGATCCTTGCGGAAGCATGTTTTCGATGAGATTATTCGTGTGACGTGAAGCCCACGCATTCAGCTCCTTACGCACTAGTTCACTCTGTTCACCAATTATAAAGCGAACTTATCAGAAAATTTTATTACAAATCCAAAAGACAATAACTGAAGTAGCTCTTGTCCTAGAAATCGAATTAAACTATTCAAAGCAGGTTCGGAAAGAGAAATCGTTGAAACTAGAAAACAAACCTTGAATTGAAAATCAACTTGAGCAAAAGTAGCTTTGAAGAAATTCTGAATGAGATCTTTCTTCGAGGGACTAACAGGTAGGGACTGTTCCATCCACACTCCATTAACCGCAGAGATCTTAGGGCCACCGTCCTCACTTGCATCGACGAGCACGGTGTTTGCTACTTCATGGAAAACAGCGTTGAGCTCATCGACAGAGGATGACCTAAGGATGGAGAAGATTAAAGATCTTAGTGTTTCTTCTTCGGAGGTAACGGCGACCATGGTTAGAACGGCGTTGATTGATGCCGGAGCGAAGACGAAGTTGGAGTTTCTGGCTACGGCAGAGATTACTTTCTCGGTAAGGAACATAGCGACGTCGTTCTGCTTTTTCATCGCTTCTCCCAAATCAACCTTTGAGTTTAAAGAGGGACTTGTGATTGTCACATCCTTCTTCTTTGGGAGACAGGGGCTTGCGAGTTCTGATGTGCTAAGCTTTTGTCTCTTCGCCTCTGGATCCATCTTTTAGGTTTTCTGTTTCCCTTCTTCTCATCATATACACATATGTATATATATAACGAAAATATATGATCATGTAAAGAAAAAGGAAAATTTCATGTATTTCCTTATAATATGATTTTAGATTTTATGCTATTATTATTTAATGATAGTGGATTTGATACAAAATACAATTTTGATATTTTTTTTAAACATAAAATCGAATTGGATAAACTCAAAACTATATAAAACTAAATTATATAAATACGCAATTTTTTTAAATTCGAAGATTTTACACATTGTTTTTAACGGCGTTAACTATATTTAACGGATATGTCGATACCGTTAGTGTTTAATTAAACACGTGTTTAAATTATGAAAATAAAATTCCTTAAAAATAAACGAATTAATTTTCATTTGTTAATAAAATACACAAAATATTTTAGATCCCCATTTAATACACAGACTAATTTATGTTTTCAGTTAAATACACCAACTTTAGAAATTTACATTTACACATCAATTTACCCAACACCAACTATGTTTAGCATGATTTAGACGATGTCAACTATGTTTAACAAAAGTGAAGAAGATGTTAGTGTTTAATTAAATATGTGATTAAACTGTAAAGAAAAATTTCCTTAAAAATTATCAAGCTATATTACATTGTTAGTTTTCTTCTCTATTATGCTTTCATAGTATAGACTTTTTTAAAATGTAATTTCAAATTTATTGATCATAGTAGAAATAATATATATATACAGCCTAATTTATAATACAAAACTTATTAATCTTAGTGTAAATTAACATTGATTAAATCATTATCACTACAATTAAAGCAAAGAATAAGAAATACATAATAATAAATTAATTCCAAATTCAGAAACTCGTTTAAAATTACATAATCTTCTTCATCGTTTTTTACGACATAAAAATCGACTCCAATTTGAATCGATATAAAAAGAAATCAAAGCGAAAAAATAAGAAAATTAACATAATTTAGAGAATAAAATAGTTTGGAACAAATTACGGTGTTAAATTCGAATTGAAACTAACTTGAGAAGTTTTGGAGGATGAGCGTGTTTTTCACATTTTTTACCACATGTTTAATTAAAACTAACGTCATCAACATATTCCTAAATCGATGTGTAAACTGTAAATTTCAAAAGTTGGTGTATTTAATTGAAAACATAAATTAGTATGTGTATTAAACGGGATCTACAATAGTTCGTGTATTTTATTAACAAATGAAAATTAGTTCGTGTATTTTTAAAGAATTTTATTTTCATAATTTAAACATGTGACATGTGTTTAATTAAACACTAACGGCGTCTACAAATCCGTTAAATATTGTTAACACCGTCAAAAACGATGTGTAAAATCTTCGAATTTTAAAAAAAATTGTATTTAATAGGTAACAGAAATTAGTTTGTGTATTAAAAAGGGATTCAAAATAGTTCGTGTAATTTATTGGCAAATGTAAATCAGTTTGTGTATTTTTAAAGAAATTTTCCAATTCAGAACTATAGATGAAATAAATAAAATACACAAAAATACTCCTTGAAATGGAGAAGAAGTAGAAAACCCATCCTAAATCGGAAAGACCTAAAACAAGAAGACTGTACGAAGAGGCTCTATTGTTTACATTTTGCACCGTTACATTTCTTTTTTTGGTCAAAACCGTTACATTTCTTCTTGCAGTAACTATCAAATGTACATCTTATCTTTAAGCAAGAAGAAGACTGTACATGCTTTCTCTAATTTACTTTCCTACAGAATTTATAGGAGTTCCAACTAAAGAAAAAATGAAAAATTTCTTGTTCTTTTAGTGAGTGAATATTCCCATTTACTACTATTGACACCTTTGGAGCTGAGCTTCTTCGATTGGAAATTCTTCTACTTAAACCCGCTTTGATAAATTGGAGCCTCTGTGATTGAACAAGCACGTCGCAACATTAAATTAAACGTTCTAGTTCCGTTTGTGGAGTTCGATCATCTTTGGGGTAAGATGCTCTGGTGAAGAAGTACTTGGACATGACTTAGTGTCATGTTCTTGACAAGATTCATTACCCTGGAAGCCCCATAACTCTTTAGCTATGGCATCCCTTTCCTCTGTGAAACAAAGTTAGAAAATAATGTTAAATCTCGCATGCATTACGATAATCAAAACAAACCAATAGTCTGAATTCAAACCTGGCTTCAATTTCTCATGATCTGGTAACTCCTGAGTTGCGAAAGGAGTAGTACTGCATTCACCTTTGCTCGATGATTTCTGAAGGTGTAATGGTATTTGCGAGTATACACTATGCAACTTTTTGTGTAACTCTTCCATCTTTCCAGCCATTTCATCAGCTCTGTCCATGTCTATAAGAACCTGAAAAGAAAGAAACTGATTTAAAGAAAATGGTAAACCATTCCCCGGAGAGAGAATGTGAAAGCCCCGGTGGCCACGTGTTGTGAAAATCTGGTGTGGTGCGGATTCGAACTCGAGTCCCTTTAGGGATCCACGGAACGCCTTGACCACCCGATTACAGACAGTGGTTAAGAAAGATAACATAAAAGCTGTTCTGTTCATATTTTGATATCTAACCTGAGCGGGATGTTTATGGAAAATTGGCGCAAATCTATGCCGGCAATATTCACTAAAAAGCAGAGTGAGAAGAATTAACGGTATGGTGAAACCCGAAGCAACCGTTGATAGCTTTAATCCGAAAAAACCCAAAGCAATAATCTGTGTCAAAATCAGTGAGAAGATTGTTGTGTTGTGAAAGACAGGCCAGTATTGTCCACCGCTTTCGTACTTTGTAATATACACGTTGAGTATCTGCAATACAGAAACAACTCCGTTAAGGCTAGCTAAGAGTATGCAAAAGATCATGATCCTGATCACAATACAAGTCCATTTATGATAAGTTGAATACTTAAAACTGTGACATTATGCACGACTTACCTGATTTCTGTATACTATATATGCAAGGAAGAAGTATATGAGCAAAAACGGTAGAATAAGTGGCGCTATGACAGAATTGGTGAAACCGAGGAGCCCAAACAAAAGCAGCCTAGGAATTTCGGTATGGTACGGGAACCTAAGTGTTTCGTATGAGTCATCCTTGTTATTGGAAATAGCTTTCGCTCCCAGATTCCATATAAGAGCCATAGGCTGCATTATTTCACAAGCCAAACTGGCCCATCCAGATGTGAAACAATAGGTCGTAAAGAAGCCAGCCTGCATGTGTCCAAGATTGAAGCCACATTTACAATCAAGGAACTTTTCTTTTTTTTTTTTCTCATAAAGAATAAACATGTAAAGCCAGATGTGTGTAATTCCTCCACTGGCCTAAGTATTAACCAAACTATCTCCAAGTGACTGTAAAAGATTGAACACTGGCAAATATACTTATGTTTTAATGAAATGTAAGTTACCTGTGTCGGCACTGCTCTTGCAAGTTGTGCAGGTATGTCTCTGACACTAGAGAAGACATTGAGTTGCCGGATAACAGACCCGGATAAAATATTCACGAAGAAGACATTCCAAATGGTAAAATATAAGATTTTGATGCATGCACTATTCTTCCTTATACTCCGTGAAATACATCCCTCCAAGGCTGAAAAATACATCATCAATGGTGGAACGGCATAGAAAAACAGAATCAGTATCACACTGGGTAAGTACCCTGTGATGACCTGGTTTATAAACTGCCTGCAAAATGGTTTGAATGGTTTTATTAACTTTAAACATGTTACAAGTTAAAGCCATTATTTTATTTCTCTAACATAAATAAAGTACTCACTTCTTCAAGATGCCTCTTAGAAAGGGAAATGCATGAGACAGCTGTTCTAACTGAGTCAGACCTTGAATGAAGGTCACAGGAATAAGAAACACAAACATGAAGGCAACTGCACCAACAAGAGTAGCTATTCTCCTTATCCAAAGTTGTCGATAAGGTATGTTGAGATTCGTCCAATACACATCGTGAGGTTCTGGAGCTAAGTCCGACACCCATAACATAGGATTTGATGTTTGTAGAACCTCTGAAGCAATAAGTGCATCGTAGCGTGTCTTAAAAAACACAAAAGCAGCTGGACGTTCCTGCTAATTAATGAGCAGAACATTTTGTGGCCTTAGTTAACTATGACTTTCATATAAAGCAGTTCTACTTCTAAGATCACCGAAGTATTCCTTACTTGCTCTGTTGTAGTCATAGTCAATTCACCACGCTCCATTCCTTTCACACTGTCACCTTCATTAGATAGGATATGAAACGAATTTGTGGCTGTAGGTCCTCCACAAAAGTTACATGGAGTCAAACTCGGTTTACAACTGATTTCAGGAGAAACATGTTTTAGACTCAGGCACATCCTCTCTGCATCATGCTGAGACACAAATTGTGGTAATCTAAACGTCAAAATATTTCTATAATACAGAACTTCAATCTCAAGTATGTTATCACAAGTACACACCATCTACATATCATTTATCCCAAGTTTCTACTATTTCTGCTTTGATTCCAAATGAAAGCGCTACAGTTAGGATACAAACAAAATTTCTCTTGAAGATCCTTTATATCTTATAATATGAATCTAAACTATATACACTTTTAGCTGATACTCGAACTAAATTTAACTATTATATCTACTGTTCTATGTAAGATCATCAATCTCTGCATGTAGCTATGAAATAAATAACCCTTTATAACATCTAATCAGTACATTATAATTCAAAACCATGAAGCTCTGCACCAACTACCAAAGTTATTAACCAAATTGAATACCGGAAAAAGAAGAAAACCAGAAGGCAGGCAGAAATTTCAAATCTTATTCACAGAGAGCAATAACAGATTTTATAACAAAAGTTCTATCTCACAAGGTAAATCCAAGAGGTTAGCTGCAGCCTAAAAATAGCTTTAAACCACTGAGTGGCCACAGGATAACACATACCAGGAGTCTCTGAATGATGCCATTATGGTAAACCATTTGGTGGGACAAATAGCTTGATGAATAGTAATTTGTAAAGAATTTGCTCAGTGTGTCGCTGTAAGATTGCTCAGGATGCCATGGAATAGCTCGGATAAGAACGGTAAATTGACTTGGCTTTGGGGCAGAACCAGTAATATGTCCAAGCCTCAATTTGGCTATGGTCCTATACTCCTACAGTAAAAAAATAGATGTTTAAGAGGAGGAAACGCAAACTAAAAATAAGTTAAAACGGAGGAACCAAGAGTAAAACAATTAAGTATGGATGAGATAAAAACCAAGGTACAAGAGGTCTCACAAAGTAGAGAAGAAGACATGCTGCTGAAGTTATAACGTACAGTGCAAGACAATGAACCCACAGCCTGATAGTAAAATGTTGCAAAAAGAAAAGATCATCACTTTACATACTTTGTATAGAAATAGTTGTTCCTCACAGAAAATAAAAAGCAAAATCACGATTACCATTCTGAGCCTTCTTTAAGATTTTCGATAGTGAAGACTTCGGATGATTCCAAATGAATTTCCTTGTGCACCCTCGGTTGGCCATAATAATTTACAGGAAGCACAAAGGCAATACAAACAACAGCAGTAATAAAGAATATACGAATGCTGCAGGGAGAGGAAAACACACAACTGTGAGAGGTATGAAGAAACAAAGAGGAGAGGAGTTTTGGAGTAGTAACTAACCTGAAAATGACCATCCTGAGGAAAACAACAGCGTCAAGACCAGCAGCAGCTAATAACTCATCTTCACTAGTTTCCCAAGCTTTGACCAGCCAACTTGGAGAAGGCACAAACCTCTCATACCAAAAAGGATCATAACGTCTAGCACCTCCACAGACAAGCCTCCGTCCAAAATAGACACAGTAATTGGCTGGCTGTTTTCTTAGTACGGAGTAAAGTGACAGAAGCACAATGCATATCGAAATATTGATTCCAGCAGATGTCAAAAGAGCTGCAATCTCCATCTCAATCTCAGTTCGACCCCCTCCTCGCTAAAAAATTGCAGGCAGAGAGGAACTTCATAAACCTATTAATTAGCCAAGAAACTGTAAGGAAAAAATAAAAAAAATATACGTAAGTTTGGGGTGAGAGTGATCTCATAATAGGACAAACGTGTACGTTGAATCCAAAGTAGTTAACTTTCAACCTATGATCTCATAATAACAACCTATGCTTAGCTTAAAAGAAGCAATATCTTAATAAACTAGTTATGACTGGATTAAACAATAACCCACAACACTAATGCTCTTAGATCCAAATCTCAAAGTTATTAATTTATGTTTTCCCCATACACGTTACATTTCTCTTTCTCAGACTCAAGTTTCATTAGTTGGTTTGTTTTGAATTACATGGCCTAAACATCAAGGCATTACTACGATAGAAGAAAACACCATGAATAAGAGAACCACAGAGATTCTGATTCTCAACCATGAAAAAACGAGCGAAAACCAATCAAATCCAGAAACAAAACGGAGTGAAACACAACGAAAGAAGAGATCTTCGGTGTAACTTACATGACGAAACGCCAAAACTTTGGTTTGACTTCCGTGAAATCAATCACAGAACGGGATAAATTACAGAAACCCTAAGAACTCGCACAGAAAGAGGAAAAGAGAAATAAAAAATAAAGAAAATGACACCAAATTGCTTCGCAATTCCAATCCCGCGAGGAGTTCGCGTTGTTCCAGTTCATATCTTAATAATCGAAACATGAAAAATAATTAAATGAAAATACGTACGATAATAATATTATTAGGAAAGGAATGCCACGCTGTGTGGTCGGTGCGAGGCGGGCGCGAGTATTACGCCACGTGTCATGATGGTAACGGTTGCATGCATATGTGATTCGGACCCACAATTGACGACAGCCTCTTCCTATGCAAGGCCAACATTCCAGAGGTTGCAGAATTTCTGAGATGTTTAAAACTGTATGGAGATTCTTCCGGTCAAGTCATCAATTTTCAAAAGTCAGCAATCACATTCGGGGCTACTGTAGACCCAATGATAAAGAGATTGATAGCAGAGCTAACTGGCATTGAAAATGAGGGCGGCGACGGCTCATACTTAGGACTCCCAGAATGCTTCAGTGGATCAAAGCAGAAGCTACTTGCGTTCATAGGGGAAAAGCTCAACAAACGGCTGAAGGGATGGTTCGCAAAGAAGCTATCACTTGGGGGTAAAGAGGTCTTACTTAAAGCCATTGCAATGGCACTTCCTGTCTATGCGATGTCATGTTTCCGTCTAACCAAACATCACTGCAAGAAGATCATGAGCGCTATGTCCAGTTTTTGGTGGGACTCAAGCGAGGACAAGAGGAAAATACATTGGTTAGCCTGGGAGAAACTATGTTCATCAAAGGAGAATGGCGGTCTGGGCTTCAGGGATATCGAACTTTTCAACCAGGCACTATTGGCTAAGCAAGCATGGAGGCTCTTCAACAACCCTGATAGCCTCTTGGCGAGAGTGTATAAGGGTAGATACTATGCATCATCGGAATTCTTAGAGTGTGGTAAAGGTTATCGGCCTTCCTACGCGTGGAGGAGCATTCTATGGGGAAGAGAACTACTCAAAGATGGACTGATCAAATCCATTGGAGACGGAGAATCAACATTTATCTGGTCAGAGAAATGGATCATGGATTCTTGTCCACGCCAACCAATCAACAAAGAGATCAACATCGAAGTCAATAGAAAAGTAAGCTCTCTGATTAATACTAATGGAGACTGGAGAGTAGATGTTCTAGAAGAGCTTTTTCCTGTTAATGAAGTCAAAAGAATCCGCTCCATACAGATAGGAAAGGTCACTGATCGAAGCATATGGGCACTTACTGACCATGGTTCCTATACAGTTAAAAGCGGCTATTGGTTTGCAGCTAATAGAGCCACACTCAATGCCACCTCACGTTCGCCAGAAGAACAAGAGATTCTGGAGCTCAAGAAGAAGATATGGAAAGTTCAGACCAGTCCTAAAATAAGATTGTTCTTGTGGAGAGCGGTCTCAGGAGCTCTAGCAGTTGCAGATAGACTACAAACAAGGGGTCTGATGGGGAATATAGAGTGCAAGCTTTGCAATGCTGCTCCGGAGACTATTAACCATGTTCTGTTTCAATGCCTTCCAGCTCAGGACATCCTACGAGCAGTAGATTACCCGCCAGAAACATCACCCACTCGTTCTCTGTCTGAGAATATGAAGATGGCTATACAGATCATGGCAGATGCAGCAAGGCCAGAGGATAAACGGAGAGCTATACCCTGGCTACTATGGACGATATGGAAGAATCGCAACTCCATTCTTTATGCTGGAATTCAGACAGCAACAGAATCCCTGAAGCAACAAGCTATTGAGGAAGCGTCACTATGGACAGAGGTGAACAAAACGGGTGAGGTCACAAGGATACAATCTCCTTCTTTAGGAGCACAGCAACAATGGCACTCACCACCGGTTGGCCTAAAGAAATGTAACATGAACTCCAATTGGCGAAACAAGTCATCTCTCTTTGGTGGAGCCTGGATCATTAGAGATCACCAAGGTTTGGTCCTACATCATGCTCGTGATGCGTTTACAAGATCTCCCAACAGATTAACAGCGGAGCTTCGTTGCATTGAGTGGACCTTGCAAAGTCTCCTTGACCTGGGATACCATGATATCATACTTGGAGTGGATAACCAGGAAACGGTCAAAGCACTTGCTGATCCCAAAGAGTGGCCACGATACAGAGCACTGATCGATAAGATTGCAGGCTTGCGAGCTAATTTCAATACAGCTAGTTTGGAGCTGGAATCTACGAAATCAAACTTGATCGCTCGAGACATTGCCCGAAGCGTTCTTAGGGATGGCAGATTTCAGTCATACCTTGCGATGGGGGGTCCAGCATGGCTCCACAACAGAATCCAGAATGAAGCCTCAACCAACGATTGTTAAAGTCTTTCCCTTAAGATCAAATTGTTGCTGTTGAAGTTTTATTCGTTTGTCTTGCTATCTTGTTCCTTGTGAAACATTGCATTACCTCTTAATTGAGTTCAGACGATTAAAAAAAAAAAATTATACTCCCTGTGTTCCTAAATGATACACTTTCTAATATTTTCACACATATTAATAAAACACACTAAATCACTATCGTTTTCAGTAATTTTCAATTTTCAACAACTTTAAGTCAAGTAATCTAATAAAACCAATTAATTTTTTTGGAACTTGTAATTTTCTCATAGAAAACATAGAATAAACATCTTTTTGAAACAAAATATTTTTCCAGATAATGGATCTTTTAGGAATGAGGGAATATTATTTAACAAAATTTTAACTTCTTTAAATATAATATGTGAGATAATACATCAAAAGTTTAAACAAGAAATGTCTAATATATAAAGAAGAGTCCAACTCTAATACAAAGCGTTTTAAAAACGAATCCAAAAGTAAATTCATGTGGACTTGTTTCTAAGATTCAAAGTGGACAGTATCGTACTAATCGGATAATATAGAATTGGACATGGGGTTCTCACAAAACCAACAATTAGTATTAGGGCGGTTGGCGAAAAATCTGCAAGAAAACCAAAATACCTTTCAAGATGGAAAAGGGATGAGAAAAAAACATTCTCAAAGGAAAGCCATACGATTACTTGTACAGAGTGGAGCCAGATGATTTGCTAAAAGGAAAATACAAGAGATGAATGTGATTCTTAGTTTAAAGGGGAAAATGTGAGATAAGAAGCAAAGTCCTACATTGGAAGTTTAGACAAGGAATGTCTAATATATAAAAGGAAATCCAACTCTAATTAGTACAATGCCTTTTGAGAAAGAAACCAAAAGTAAATTCATGTGGGCTTGTTTCCAAAACCTAAAATGGATAATATTAAATGGATAGTAGAGAGTTGGACATGAGATTTAACAATCCCAACATAATATTTTTTTAGATAATACATAGGTGTGGTTTTCAAAAAGAACATAATAACATATAATTATAGATAATTCGGACAGTTAGCTAGATATATTATACCCAATGGAAGTCCAAATTGGCAAAGTACATACTGAGTGTGATGTCCGAGTAATGCCATTTAGACTATGACAAGACGATTTTGCCATCTCCATGATGATGAAAGCTTATATTACGTACTCAAGCGCTAAGGGAGAAGAAAAGTGTGTCAAGCGAATAGAATGGCGTTCGAGGTAGTAGGTTAACAGCTGGATGACTTTTGCTCCACTCGTTCTCTCCGGTTTTTGGGACAAACGGATGGACGCTAGCTCCAAAATTTCATCGATAAAAGGTAAAGAGATTTTTGAATATGAGTAGGTGATTGTTAATAGGTTAGAAACATAAATTGAAAAAGCTAACAACTGGAGATTGTTTTGTGGGACCAGGAAAGTAAAAACAAGATTGTGATTTAGAGTGAAGAAATGAAGACTCTTGTGACAGTGGTCATTATTGCTTGGAGTTAAGGTGAGATCTTCAATAAAACTTTAGTTTTTCTACACTTTTATCATAGACTTCCTTTATAAAAGGAAGACAAAAGCAAAGAGAAGAGTGAAGTTTGATTTTTTTTTTTTTAAATAAACTTGTATGCAGTGAACAATGGGCTATCTTGCTAAACTAGTGGTGAGATTATGGGAAAGACATCTACAAGGAGCATGGAAGTTCGTTTTTGATTAAACCGAGGTGAAATACAATGTAGTCATACTGTTTTTGGTCTGTTCGTTTTTGGATTTATTTTTGAGAATTTGCACTCTACACACAAGATTTATACAATAATTAGGTTAATGCACTATTTACCTTTTCGATGCAGTCAGAAGGGAAGTGGATTACCATTTTAACCTTGCTCACATCTGACTATCAGCAACCGGCTACCTGTTATTGCTGTAATCTTTTCTTTTTTCTTTTAGTATTTTATGTCTAATATTATGTGTCGGCCAAAAGAAGATTAGTAATTTACTTTCTCCAAATTCAGTCCTCTAACATAAATCTACGAAGCAA